CTCAGGTTGTCAGACCTGTCTCTTACCTGGATTGCCTCAGTCCTCAGCCTGTTCCACAGGTCAGACTTGTTAGTCTGCTAACTGTCTAGGTGGCTTGTTCTTATAAAGATCAAACAGTTTTCATCTAGGTCTGCAGAAGGGGTGGGCAGGACCTAGATCTCCAGATGTTTTGGACTTCATTTCTGTAACATGCTGAGACCATAGAACCACCCACAGCCTGCAGGTCTTCCAAGCCCCAAGCAAACTCTCCTGTTAATCCCAGCATGCTGGAAAGGGATGATCATAGTTTGTGGTACATGAAGCCCATGTGGATGGCACAGCCTTAACATTTGCTGCTGAGACCCATGCTGTGACCTCTGTGAGTGTTATCAGCAGCTATTGGGAAAGAAAAGCTGTGAGGTACAGCAACCAAGGAGCTGCAGGAGTCCTAATTACTTCTGTAATGCCTGGAGGCAAGACCTATCTAGCAAATCATAGGGAGCAAGCCTAATGGGCACTGCTGTTCCAACAAACCACCTTGTTTGGAAGCCAGAATTCAAAAGAGACCCATGAAGATGCTCTGCAAGTGAATATCACTCTCTACGAGTAAGCCCCACCCTTGGCTAACAGAAACTGTGTGGAATCACCTGCCTACAGGCCCACACAAATCCCCCTGCCCCTTACAGAATTTGGGTACAGTATTTTCTGTAAATTTCAAAACTTCTCCTGTTGTATTTCTGGCTGGGGCTTTCTTCCAGCCTGTTCAATCTTTCTCTGGCAAGAAATTAAGGAAATCTTCTTGTATAAGGCACACACCTACTCCTTATTCTTGATACCAGTCACATATCATTTTCCCCACAGAGATGCAATAGCCTAATATTCAGAACTTAGCTATTCATGTTTTCATCAGCTTTCTCCCAGTCCTTCTCTGGCATGACACTCCAGCCACAGATCTCCTCCCTCACTTTCCACAGGTTGACTAATCTAGCAACTCTTTAACTGTTATTTTTCCGCTGTTCTTTTCAATCTAGCTAAAACCCCAGCAAATCAGGATTCACTTATCCAGGCCCCATCTCACAATATTCAAAGTGATTGACTCTTCCCCTCCCAGTTCAGCACATCACAGGAAACTTCATAAGTAATAAATGAGACATTTCTGTACACAGTGTCGGACCACTGGTCCATCTAAATCAATATTGTCCTCACTATGGATAGTAGATATTTTCTTCCCACCACCAAGAGCCACATACCAACAGTGGATGGAACCATTGCCAAAAATGAGCATGGTTAAAATGAACAATGGGCAAGACCAACGTCACACAAAGACACACATATCTGTAGAAATCATTCAAGGGTGGGGAGACAAGGTCCAGGACACATAACTACAGGTTGCTATCTTGAATATTTCGATCTGTATATGACTGAACCCAGCACCCCATTACATGGTGCTGAAGAACAGCAACAAGAGAGAATGATGGGCTGTACCTATTAGTAATTTACAATATTGTATCATTATGATTAATTTTATTTTTATACTGTCCAGTAGCCAAAGCTGAGCAGTTTATAACAGCGTATACACAGCATATGTTGATGAAATTATACGTATCTAAACTAAATTCTAATAAATGACTTTAGCTGTTCATTTAACAAAGACATAACAAATACATTTTAGCTTCAGTTTGTTATTTTTGAATGCTATGGTGGAAACATTTGTGATGGTTTTAATTGCACCAACTGAACTGAGCACTTCATTAGATTCAGATAATGTATAATTAAATGTATAATTAAATTTAATCTATGGAATGAACAATGGATAAAGCTTACCTGAGAATAGCTTGTCATGAATCCCATATCGCTGCTGCATATTAAGATAGTTTTCAATTGACATCAGTTTCCTGTTCATGATGGAAAGTCAGTGTGAACCACTATGCCATCCACTTTTTGAGTGCATTCTTGTAGCTTCATTAAAGTATTTATACTTGAGTCATAAATGTGCCTTGTACCACTCATACCTCTGGCTGAAGAAAAAAAATGCAATAACATTATACAGGTCCTTTGGAAGCACCTAAATGTGATATATAATGAGAATAGTTAGCCATGCATGGCGAAAAGTTCTTGGACCTGTACCATCAAGTTTGAATTCAAATCTTTCTGTAGGGATACAGCATACAGGGATATGATCTCAACTGCCTTTTGTTTTTTGGGATGCAGCTTGAGCATCAGGAGTTTCTCACTCCATATAGGGAAAAAATCTTTGTTGTTAACACCTGGAGCATCACTTTGCCTGCATGGGAAATCAGTATAATCCATTCCTTTATATCTTCTTTTTTGGGAACTAAAATGTACATTGAACATTTATATTCTGTGGAAAATTATTTTTTCATATTTGTTGACCTGAGGTTTTTTTTTTTTTTTTTTTTTTTTTTGATGTTTGTCTGTATACAAACAGGATTCTAGGGATGGGGGCAAGCACCCACCATTGCCCTAACCTATGGATACAAGCATACATGTAAAGATGCCCTCCATTCATCCTGTTTCCCATGCTCCTCTGCCATTCTTCATCACTCTCTCTTGCTTACACACACACACACACACACGTGCCAAAATTAAGCATCATGGGCTTAAAGTGATATTTTCTCAGTGCTGCTGCACTACTGAATAGTTTACCCAAGTAACATCCTTAAATCATTTCCCCTTCCCATTATTATTCCCTTGAAGCACTGAGGTTACCCTTTCGAAATGTGTTGCTCTTGTTAAAAAGCTTTCTCAGTACATTTTTCCCTGCACCTTAGAAATCAGAAGTGGGAAAAGCAGTAGGGGCAAAAGGCTTTCTGCTGCAGCCTCCTGGCTAGTTGCACTTCCTGGAATAAATACTGGAACTGTGGCTTATTGGAAGGTTGTGTTGTGCTTCCATGAGTAGTTGCATGAGGATGAAGGAAGGGAGGGAGGGAGTGAGGGAGCTTGTAATTAGGGTGTGGGCTGAGGAGAAAGGTGTGGGGTAGTTGGCGAAATCATCCAGGACCTCATCCAGTCTGGAGCCCTAGTTTTCACTGACTAGCAGCAGATCTCTAATAGTCTTTTCTAGTCTAATCTGGATTGAACCTAGAAGCTTTGCAGGCAAAGCACGTTCGGTTTCACCAAACCCATTCATTCAAGATTGTGTTTTTATGAGCATGACCTTGAGAAATATTTTAAAGTGACAAATTTCAAGTATCAGTAATATACTTAGGTGCTACTACAGATCTTAGATTAAAGTACGAATTAAGCACAAGCATCAGTATTGTATTGGTAACAATAATGAACACATTCTGAATTTATTAGATTACTTAGAAGATGTTAAAGTAATTTCTATAGAGTAATTAAAGTGTATTGTGTATTATTAAAAAGTAATCATTCTGCTCAATGTATTGTTGAATAATCAGTATTTGTTAAAGTCTTTAATTGTGCAGTATTATGAGAGGATTTGTAATTCAGTTGTAAATACAATTATTGGTATTTTCCACAGATTCATTCTCAGATAGCAGGGGAAATACCTCTTAAGTACCTTGGCTGCTGCCTCCACTTTGAGTAAAACTTACTAGTTTAGTAAGTTTACTGTATCAAGCAGTAGCCTGATATAGGTGGATTAAATATTTCTATTCAATGAGAACATGAATCTGTTCTCCGATGATGACTTCCCACAAGTGCACTGAGAAAATGCACATGATCCCTCCTGGAACGTGGCTCACTCCCTGAGCAAATCACTTGAAATTTCTCTAGCCCATATGCCCCAAACCACTCTGCTCTGTGATATCTCACATCCAAAGTGTCCAGCCAGAGTAGTATTTCAGCACATGCCACATAGTTCAACTCCAAATCCAGTACCATCTGTCATACAGAGAGTGTCCCACCACCTCTCCAGTTCTGGTTAGCATTGGAGGCAATAACACAGGGCTTTCAGTAGGCCTAGAGCCTACACCACCACCAGCAGCCAGTTATTTGAATATTCTGGGTTGGAGCAGAACAGTTTAATGAAAAGCCAAAGTTTGGAAGGTTCTTAATACATCAGGGGCCATACCATGTGATTTTAGGAAGCTCTGGTGTGCAACCCATCACAAAACCTGCCTGTTCACCTAAGCATTGTCTGAGAAACAATGACTCCGTGCTTTTTGACCTGGCAATTTCATTTCTTTTTCTCTGTCATTAGCAACTTTGGCTGTAAGATGGGCTTCACCCTGTGATATCTACCCCCAACACATACGAATAAATGTTTCATCTGCTCTCTTCCTTGACATAATAGTCATATTGTCCTGATCCTAAGTATCTTAATTTGCAACATTACAGCCTTGCACTAGGCTTGCATACAAGGTCACAGTGCAGATCCTTAACGAAATCCTGTGTTTCTGCCAGAAATACGTTGATACAAACTAAGATCCTGAAGGGCTCATGTTCTATCACTGGTTTTCCCCAAGAAATTTTCTTTTAAGTTTTCAAAAATATTGGCTCTGCCAATTGGCTGGTCATTACAGACAAAATTTGTGAATTGTGTATGTATCCAGAATTTCAATGCAGTTCCCTACAGTCATCTTCTGCCAGTCCTGTCATTAAAAATATGAAGGAAAGGGGCTCTTCTCAAAGGTCCCTCTTCAGTGTGGAATATTGACCTCAAAGAGGTTCACCTGGCAATTACTTGGTTGTCATCTCAGCACTAGACATTTATATTTACCTAAGAATTTGATTTTTATCTCATATCAGTAGTTTTGGTGCTGTTATGCCATCTTTAGTTTTAGATTTTATTACTTTTATTGTATCATTGCTTTTCTGTTTTTATTGGAAAACCATCTGGGTGAATTTTCGTTGAAGATAGTATAAATAACTTAGATAAATAAGTAAATGAAATAAATGAATTGTATTATTTGGTCCAATAACCAACTGAGGGGTTTTTGAGGCCAGTGTTTTGTTCTCAGTGTGGTATAAACTTCTAACCTTCATTTCTCTACCTTACTGACTGCCATGTTTGGTTTTTATTATTATTATTTGAGGACCCACCTACTTCTGTTTCACTGGGACTGAGGATGGAGGAGATGATTTTCAACTTGGCAGACACACATCTATTCTTTAATGATCTAGAAGTAAGTACTTATTGCTTTAATGAGACATAGAAATTTGTTTAATGTTTGGTTATATTTTAAAAGCCATTAAATGGTTCACAGAGCAATTCTAAAGCTGGGATCACTGCATGTGGTGAAAATGATGCTCTGCTGTGGAGAGACCCACCATTGGCAAGTTGATACTTCTGTCCTCAGACACATGTAGAAAGCTGCATGGATGTAGAAATTCCTGAACGAGATTAAAACTACACCTAGTGATTTCTCTTGCTGAGGTGTCAAATGAAATGGGGGAGAAACATGGAAGGGGAAGAGGGAAATGGTGCCCCACCACTTTCTGTCCCTTTCTCCATGAAATGGATGGTCTTAGAAAGTAGTGGTTCCTCCACCACAGAATCCCTTCCCTTTTGTTAGGAATGTTCTGTAAGTTGATCTGACCATGAGGAAGTGTGAAGATTTTATGGACTTTATGTGTATATATGGTCAAACAAATCTCAGTTATCATTTGTTACTTCCAGGTTTATTGCTTTTAATATTTGAACAAATTGTGGAGAGCTTATATGGTTCTTGTTCTTTCATTTCCTATTATATGAATATTATAAATTGGATCAAAGTATACAAGTTCAGATATGTTCATGCTGTAGAATATGAAATAGTGTCACCTTCATAATGATCACTTATATATGCAGTTTCTCCATTATAACCAACAGTGAGAAAGCATTGTCTTAGAATCAAAAGAAAGTCACTAATATTGAATGGATTTCAGTCGAGCTGGCAATGGCTTATCACACTGATTTTTCTACTTCTCCAATAGTTTATGCAGATTGTTGTGCTGTTTTTGTTAATCATATACCTCTTGCCTGATATATTCTGCTGTGAAGGTTTGTGCACCCAATTCATACATTTACAATTGTTGGTTGTGGTGGTTTCAGGTTACGCAATAGTTCTGCTCATGTGAGTAATGAAATGTGATCAGGGAAATGGCTGATTACAGCAGTGGCAACTTCTATGCCTCGGCATAGATACTGTGCCTTAGTTTTCTATAGGTACTTGGCTCTCACTTGTTTTGCTAATCATACAGCAATGTTTCTTGCATATAAAGAAAAAGAAAAGCAGTCATTTGTAATGTTTGAATCAGCCTTCATAGATCTATGGCAAGCATTTGCTCAAACCATATATTCTGTGGTGCAAATACATTTGTGAATTCATCTTTGAAGATCTTGCTAGCTTATGAAAAACAGCTTCCAGTAAAATGTCTGCCCATTTCACCTTATATTGGAAAGACACTTTATGCTGATACTTTCATAAAAAGAAAATAATAATATAAAAACAGTCAAGTTTCGCTCCCATCATAATAAAGACAGCTGTTTATTTAAAACCAAACCATTAAACAAGTTTGTGGCAGGACTGCCAACAGGCATTAATCATCACATTGTTGTTTTGTTAGAATTTATAAATGCATGTTATTCCAGACAGGCAAAAGAATCCAAAAGATTCAAATACAACTTTTGCTGATCAAAGTTAATTGGCAGCAATTGGCCTTTAAATATTTCCTGATGTTTCCTTTTCTTCAAAATCAAGCAAAATACACCTTATTTAATAGATGAACCAATATCATTTGAAAAATGCTAGTGTGTGACGAACCTTAAATGTGGTTTTCCAAACATCTGTCCTATATTTTGAATTCTTTTCATCTGCAAAGAAACTACTCACAGATGAATTGGCAACTTAAGAATGTAATAAAATTATTTAAATGCTTTATTTTATCTTCCATTCCTTAGTGAAGTATTTATTTTTTCACATTTGAAATAACAAGATTTTATACATTGCAAGTGTTTTCAATAAGGCAACTTGTGTTAGAGATATTGTTTTGGTACAAATAGTGTCTCTACTGGATGATATGCTTTGGATTCTTATTCAGCCCAAGAAGAACATAGCAAGACCTTTTGGTTTCCAAGGCTGTTTCTATTTTCTAGTTAGATTTAATTACATCCAAAGTATATAAAAAATATTAACACATCTCAACCCTTCATTTGTTTTACTCGGTCATAAAAGTTCCTATAACTTCATGCAGTTAAAATTAATGTTAACAGAAACTGAAAGCCAGTGTGGCACAGTGTGAACTCCTGAGTAGAACTCATGAGATCTAGGTTATTGTTCACACTCAGCCATGATGCTCATTAGCTGATTTCAACCATTTCCTGACTCTCAGCCTGACCTAGCTTGTAGTTGTGTGATAAAATGGAGAGAAGGATAACTACATAAGCTGCTTTGTATTCCTTGTAGGAAAAAGATGGAATATGAATAAGTAAACAAATAAACCATAAGTTTAGAGGGTGTGAAAAAATACTTCCAGTGTTTCAGTTTGCTTTGTGCACCAAGCAGATCTTTTGTGATCCTCATTTCACACAGCAAAATAATTTTGAAATTTTTGCTGACATTTCAAAAGTAGTTTCTCATATAGAATGTGATCCCATTGAGCATGCCTGAAATAGTTCTCTGGATTGTGATCAGTCCTTTTAAAGTAGGGTGTATCTTATTAAATACTACAAAGCATCTTTTCATAATTGATTCAGCAAACCAAAAATAAGTACACTTATTTAGAAATACTTTTGAGAACCATAGTAAAAATATCAACCCAATGTGCAACAGCTGTGAAAAGGCTGAATTCTATCCTTGGAAATTATTGAGAAAGGAAGTTGAAAATAAAATTGCCAGTATCATAATGCCTTTATACAAATCCATAGAGCAACCAAACCTGAAAAACTTAATCATTAGTGACTTAGTTCTAGTTGCTACTCAAAAAGTATTTTGTATTTCTAATGAATGGAAAAAAATCAAGAAAAAATTACATATTGAGGATGTAGAGATGGCAACTAGCTTAAATGGCATTAAAAAGGGTTGGAGAAATCCATGGAAGATGAAGTTCTGAGTGGCTATGAATGGCTAAATATAATCTCCAGGTTCAGAAGCAGTATGCTCCTTAATAACTGTCACTGGAGACCATAAGGATAGTATGGGCTATATCACTGAAGTCCTGTTTGTGGACTCCCAAGAGTCATCTGGTTGGCCATTGAGTGAAACAGGATGCTGGACTAGACAGCCCATTGATCTGAACCAACAGATTTTCTCCTGTTCTGTATCAGTCTAATCTTGCTATAGTTGTCCATGTAATGTTTTTACTATTCTAATAATTCATTATATAAATATGAAAGAGGAAATAAGTTCTGTACTTTACCTATCGGGTAGGTCATGCTACTGAAATAAGAAAAAGTTGATTTATTTTTCAAGTTCCATACCAGTCTTCAAAATGGGCAAAGCATCATACTTCAATAAGCACAAAACTGCTGTTGAAAAGGAAGCCATGTCTGGTATTCTTCCTGTCCATAATATATTTTCACTGCATTTGTGTTCCATATCAATGACAGTATGCAGGACAATTTATACTACACATTTATTGCCAGGAAGAGGGAGACTGCAATATGGGTTCTTTTGCTATGATCTTCGCTTTCAGAAAATAGAGTCATGCTCTTTGTAAACAAGTTCACTAGTCTTGTCACATTTACTTAAGTGATATCAGAATAGGGATAAAGTTATTATTGTAGGCCACTGTTTTGGAATATTTTTGTGTGTTGCATTATCTTGTTGCATTAATAGTTACTTTTTGCTACACAGTAAGAGTTTAGCTCAGGAATCTGCTCTGAGCTATATCAGAGGCAGATTTTTTTTCAGAACCCAAATGAAAGGTTTTAATTTGCACTGCATTGCCAATATGTTCCAGGGAAAAACAGCATTGCATCTAGTAACATCATTAAAAATACCTGACCAGGCAAGGTGTCCAGTTCAAATCAAGTACACTTCAGCATTTCAAACATGAAATATTTCTCTGCTTGCAACTGTACCTGTGTTTCCTGCTCCTTGCTGGGATCTGACAACATTCTTTATTATAATATTTTTGCACATCTGGTCTCAGGCAGGATCAGGAAGTGTAGAGGCATGAAAAAATGTAAAACAATGGAAGGAAAGTTATCTGAGCCTCTCAAAACTCTTAAACTGTTTCCACTCTGCCTTGAGTTCTAGTGAAAGCTTCGAGGCCTTTTTGATTTAATCAGGCTTCGTTAGTACAACATAGTGACGAATTTGACTCTTGGCCCTCCTTGCCCCCTGCCACCCACTGTTCGTTCTTTATAGATCAAAGTGGGCATGGAGCAACAGTGAATAAACACTGTAACTACTATGGTGTTTTCAGCATCAGCTGATGCAACTGCCTGAAAGTGCTTAATTATGCATAGGTTGGCAATACAATATATCTGACCTTTTGGTTAGTCAACTGCACTGTGTAAAAGCAGTATCTGTCCATTTGTAGGTGTGTTGACTTTAGCAGGGACTTATTACTTTTGTGGGGCATTTCTAGCTGGTACAAAGTGAACTGAAATGTTTCCCTACACCTAATCCTTCTTATCCAGCATTTGCCTTTCTTTCTGCCTTCCCTCGCTTGTCAAAATGTACATTCTTGAAAAAAACATCAGTGGTTTGTTATATGGTCTTGAGATGCATGGTTATTGCAGAAACCTAACTGGCTATGCACACCTGCAATCTCAGACAGTGATGGCAAGTTGATATCAGCAGATGTTTTCTCATTTTTATTTTTTCCTCTGTCGGAATGTTAATACTTCTGAAAAAATATCCTGAATAAATATCCTGGTCATGGCACATTAGCAGCAATGCTATATCCTTGTCAAAAAATATGTGGTCATTGTACCCTAGGCTTTCAATCTTTAGAAAAAACACTAACACCATAACATCAAAATGTTTTTTGTGCATCAAGTGTTGCATCTTGGTCTATGATAGAGCAAACAGATGTGCAGAATCATTTTGCAACACCTGGACAGTTTTAGTGCAGCTGCTGAGTATTACAAGGTTTGTCTGCTAAATTCCATACCTGCTTAAGACCATAGTTTTGTTTTTGCAAAATGTTGCTACATATTACTAGCCTAGTTGCCTGACTCCCAGTGTTTCTTATT